CCCAGTAACTATGGGACTGTCATAGCTGTCTGTGCCTATTTACCCATAATCAGCAGCTGGGGGAAAAATCCCCTTTCTTCTCCTGCACCTAACCAATACCCCGTGGCCTGCTTCAACCAATCAGAACCAAATAACCATCAACCAATCAGAACTAAACAAGTATGCATCCCTCATTTACATAGCTGATCAGAGGGGAAACCTGGGTAGGAACTTTCTCTATAAAAGACAACCCCTCAGCCTACAGGCGCGTGCTGTAACAACAACAAAAAAGACAACCCCTTTCTTCATCCTCTTTGAAAGCACATTTCTTTTGTACAGAAGACTGTTTCCACAGTTTGCAAATTGTACACTAGAATAAAATCTTTCCTTTTTAAAAAAGAAAATCCTTTTTAGTGGATTTGTTGACATATTGCAAAACAATTCTCACTGTAGTTCAGAGACTTTCTGAGCAAATGGAATAGGAGCATGACAGTGCTAAAAGTGATTCAAGTAATTCTGTATCCAATTACTCATGATGAAATAGAGGAGGACCAAAAGACAATTGGAAATGCTTTAAGTAAAAAGCAAATATTTTATGAATGCATAGTTATCTGTAGCACAAAAAGATTCATGTTTTCAGTTCTCACTTCAAAAAATAAAAATAAGAGAAGCCATTTCAAAAAGATGTCCTTGTGGGCTCTAAGAAAGACAAAATCTCACCTCTGTGATAGTCCTGCCAAAGATGTAAAATTGTTTCTAGCCATAAGGAAATATCAGGCAAACCTAAACTGAGAAGCATTCTACAAAATAACTGACCTGAACTCTTTAAAAAATGTGTCAGCATCAAAAAAGACAAAGACACACTGAGGAATGGTTCCAGATTAAACTAGGTTAAAGACACATGCAACTAATTGCAACACATCCTCTTGGATTTTCTTTTGCAATAAATGGTATTATTGGGACATTGGCAAAAATTGAATAAGAATCAAACATTAGATGATAATAACAATGTTAATTTTCTGATTTTGATGTTGATTCTGTGGTTACATAAGAGGCCTTCTTCATTCTTAGAAAATATGCAATGCAATATTGAGGGGTGAAAGGTGAAGTGTGAAGACTGTATGAGAATTATTTGTGCTAGACCTGCAACTTTTTATGAATCTGAAATCATGTCAAAATAAACTGTTAAAATAATGTAAATGAAGGGATTGAAATGGGGAGGAAAAAAATCTTAAAGATGTTGATCAGGAGATCGTTTGAAAGTAATAGAATCACAAGTATGTCCTTACCATTAGGAAGTCCATAAGAAATTAAAATAGCAGCTGGAAAAAATTTTTTGTTGTTTTGAGTCCGAGTCTCACTCTGTCACCCAGGCTGGAGTGCAGTGGCATGATCACAGCTCATGGCAGCCTCGACCTCCTGGGTAAGGCAATCTTCCTGCCTCAGTGTCCTAAGTAACTGGGCCTACAGGCATGTGCCACCACGTCCAGCTAGCAGCTGGAAATTTTTGCATACAAATCTGATCACCACACAATAATGACACCAACAACACACTATATCTTTAAGACATCTTTTGAAAAGAAGATAAATATTATTTCATTCTCAATTTTTCATGAGTAATTTTTCATTTCATATAGCACATGGTTTGCTATTTTAAATAATTTACTATATTAATTATATCTGCAAATGATTAATTTCTAGGATAATATAGTGTTCATATTTTTATAAATGTTTTGATTTTTAAAATATTACACATTTTTGTATTTGAAATGTTAGATATTTAGTTCCCTGTACTTTTGATTGTTTGGATTTTGAACCTCTTTAAAAAGGTAATTGTGCAATTTTGGTATTTAACAAAATAGTATGAAAATGTGAAAGTGTCATTTTCTTCTGGTACTGTAGTCACTTGTGCTTTGAAGTCTGATACTGATGCACCTGTTTGGCAGAGTCTAGGTATAATGCTGGCAGCCTCACTGCAAGGGCAACTGGGATAGGATGTTAAGTATCTGGGAGGTAGTACTGGTGTCAATTTTTAAAATTGTGGTAAGAACCCTTAACATAAGATCAACCCTGTGAAGTTTTTAAGTGTATAATAAAGAATTGTTAACAATGCAGCAGTGTCGTACAGATCTCTAGAACTTAAGCATCTGACATAGCTCAAAAGTTATACCCATTAATAATTATTAGCAACTCCCCATTTCACCTTCCCTCAAGTTCCTGACAACCACCATTATACTTTCTATGTGTTTGACTATTTTAGATACATCATATAAGTGGAACCATGCAATATTTGTCCTTTTGTGACTGGCTTATTTCACCTGGCTCAATATCCTTAAGGTTCATTCATGCTGTCACATAACAGGATTTCCCTCTTTTCGAAGGCCGAATTATGTTGCATTGTATGTATATACCATATTTTCTTTATTCATTAATCAATGAACAGTTTAGTTATCTCTTCAGCTTGGCTATTGTGAATAATGCTGCAATAAATATGAGAGTGCAAATATCTCTTTGGGATCCTAATTTAAATTAAGATGAACACCCAGATAGTATTTCTTTTTTACTTTTTGAGGACCATCCATACTGTTTTCAATAGCAACTGCACCATTTTACATTCCTACCAACAGTCTACAAGGGTTTCAATTTTTCCACATCCTCAACAACACTTACCTTTCTTTTTTTTTGAGTTGGAGTATCACTGTTGCCCAGACTGGAGTGCAGTGGCCGCTCCTGGCCACCACAGCCTCGACCTGCTGGGCTCTGATCCTTCCGCCTCAGCCTTCCAAGTAGCTGGAACTACAGACGCGCGCTACCATGCCCGGCTAATTTTTTTGATTTATTGTAGAGATGAGGTCTCACCTGCCCAGGAGGGTCTCGAACTCGCGGGCTCAGGCAATCCACTCACCTCAGCCTCCCAAAGGCGCGGGATTACAGACTGAGCCACCGAGCCCGGTCAACCCCCTAATTTTTAAAGAATCACTTGATTTGAGGATCTGTAGTTTGTACCCCAACATAAGAAATGGTATATAAATGATGTACTAATTAAAAAATAGAAACTCTAAGCATTATAATTCAAGAATCTATAACAATTGATTATAACTGCAACTCTTATGATTTTGTATCAATGCTACAAGCCATTGATAAGGAATTCTCTTTTAACTGCTGTCAGGATGTTGTCCACAATGACATCTGACCCATTATAGATTTTGAGGCAGGATCCACAGGCAAAATTCAGATCTCTGACCTTGAGTAAGTTAGGCTTATCTTGAACTACATGTTGACTTTTACCTTACAGTGACTCTGAGTGGCATGAGTTTTTTTTTTTAACTTTAGAAAACTCAAATTTGCAATCCAACCTAAACTACTGTACAGAATTACCTATACGTACATTTCTCTGCACTAAACTCACCTTAGATTCACTATTTTTTTTTTTTTTGAGTTGGAGTCTCACTCTGTTGCTCAGGTTGGAGGGCAGTGGCACACTCACGGCTACCCCAGTGTTGACCTGCAGGGCTCCAGTGATCCTTCCACTTCAGTCTTTCAAATAGCCAGAACTACTCGCGCACGCTACCACACCTGGCTAATTTTTGATTTATTGTAGAGACGAGGTCTTGCCTAGTTGCCCGGGCTGGTCTTGAACCCGCGGGCACAGACAATCCACTTGCCTTGGCCTCCCAAAGTGCTGGGATTACAGGCTGAGCCACAGAGCTCGGCCACTATTTTCTATTCTTAATGTGTCCTGATTTCCTCAATGTTTTTGTAACTCTTTGTATTGTATGTGTTATTTTTAGGCACATCAAAACCTTCCAGATTATCCATAAAGGAAGACAGGAAGGAAGGAAGAATACGGAATCTGTAACAAGACTGAAGAAATATGTGAGAAAAAAATCACAAAAGTGGAAAACTATTATCATGAAAAACTTGTTTTGTAAATTCAAAAGATAAATGTAAACATGCAATTTAAGTTTCAAATATATCACCCACAGGACTTGAGCCAGGTGCTAACTTTGGGTCTCTTTGCATACAACCTTAAACCTAGAAATGCTACACTGCAAATGGGAAGGGGAAGAGTAGAGAATTAAACTGCTGAGCACCATGGCTCAAGACAGTAATCTCAGCACTACGGGAGGCAGAGGCAAGAGGACTGTGTAAGCCCACATGTAGAGACCAGCTTGTGTAAACTGGTGAGACCTCATCTCTACAATAAATCAAAACATTAGCTGGACATGGTGGCACATGTCTATAGTTCCAGCTACTTGGAAGGCAGAAGCGGAAGAATCGCCTGAGCCCAGCAAGTCAAGGCTGTGGTGGCCGTGAGCTTGCCACTGCACTCCAGCCTGGACGACAGAGACTCCGACTCAAAAAAAAAAAAAAAGAGTTAAACTGGAGTAAAGAGGACAAAGGGGCCTTATGCACAGTTTGAGAAGGCAAGTATGCTGTTTTAGCCCGATAGAGAGGTTTTTACTCTTATTTCTCAGAGTACAATCAAGTTGGTACCCCACAGGAGAGGAAGAGATATAGAAGGGGACTTTCATTTCTCATAATTCTAGAATCATTAATATGCTAGTGTCCAGAGTGTGGGTAATAGAAATGTCTGTGGTCAGTTGGTAGACATAAATGGTTAGTCAACTAACTCCTCAAGCTGGTGGGATCCTGAGTGCACAGGTAGGCTGCAGCAGGCAGCAGACCTGGACTCTTCACAGCACTGTACTACCTAGCAGGAAAAAAAAAAAAAGAAAGTAGTTCAGAAAGGGGATCTGCAGAAATGCCAACAGGTTCTGAAGGGGATATAAATTTCCTCTGTGGAGGATCAGAATGCCTTAATCTGTTTCTAGGCTACCTATTCTATTCCAGTGATCCATTTGCTTATTCCTAAACCAATGTCATACAATGCTATGGCTTTAGGAAACATTTTAACAACAGGTGTATAAATTTGCATTCAGGAGATCATGTAACACAATCAATAACAGGTTAGCGCAGTTATTCAGAGTATAAGATATATATATTTAGAATAAAACGTATCTTTCCAAACCCACACTTTTATTTGAACTTTCTACAACAATAACAATTGAATGTTTGACTTCATACAGGATAACGGAGAGAAAAGAAGCCTCATTCTTCTCACTGATTGCTGTTAATAGGTGAATGTCATAAAATTAAATTTGTAAAGCTATCCTAATCAAATAGTACTTTTCTAGTTCATTTATATTTTATATTAGACTGATGCATAAATCTGTGGCATGTCAACACTGCTATGTTGGGAGATTGTCATTTGGAGTGATAACGTGCTAGTGAATACAACTTGCATTTTACAGATTTGACAAAAGTTAGTGCTACTTGTGAGCTAAAGAAGATGGAGTGTCAAGTGGAAAAAAAACACTTCCAACATATTCTGTTTGAGGTCAACAGAGGAGTAAAGGTAGCAGAGGTGATTCAAAACATTTGTGCTGTGTACGGGAAGAATGCCATCGGGGAAAGCACAGCAAGAAAATAGTTTTGTCATTTCAAAGAGGGCCACTTTGACCTGAGGGATTCTCCATGTTCAAGAAGACCACTGAGCCTTGATGAAGATCATTTAAATGCTTTAATCCATGATGATCCACATCAGTCAACCTAAAAACTGGCAAAAATGATGACTGTGACCAGTCAACCATCCTTTGACATTTGTATTCCATGGGCAAGTGAATGATGCTATGAACTTAATGCATCAACCCAATATGTAGGACTCCATGTACAATTTGCTTATAAAATGGGTTCCATAACTAGTACATTTTAAGACTATGGTTCTAATACATAAATGTGCATTGCCTTCAATATTATTCATTCACCTGTTTGATTTTTTGGAAATATAATTCATATACCACAAAGTACACTCTGTAAAGTATTCAATTCAATCCTTTTTAGTGCCTTGACAAAGTTCTGCTTCAATGACCACTATCTATTCTTGTTTGAGTATTTTATTATTTAAAAAAGTGAAAAAAACCAAAGTGCAATTTTCATTCAATAAATATCATTTGATCCTTATGCGGTTTTGTTGCAGAAAATGAAGTTCAAGATTTTAGAATGATGATAGCAATTTATCAACCAAATAATCCATTTTCATACAGTTTCAATAATTGCAGCAATTTCCTTGAACTGTCTGTAGAAATTCTGGAGATAAAGGGAAAAAATTATATTAATTTGCTTTTAAGGGGATATCAAAATAGTTATTTTAATTATGTCTGACTATCAGACATAATACTAATACTATAATGTGTTAGCTTGCATTTTAATGTCATATCATCAACTATTGAAGATTGCTATAAGAAACAAACAGATGCAATTTGGTACAGCAATCAAAAGTACTATTTAGATTTAGATAACTAGCTTATGACTACATTTAAAAAAAGATTTATTAAATATCCAACACTGTCATAGACACTGAAGTTAGAAACAAAAAATGGCAGGCCTCAAAGACACTTCAAATCTAGTGAAAAACTGTACTTAAGAGTGGTAGGGGCTATTTTATTTAAGATTACGGGTTCCATAATAATAAGTGAGACTCAACATTTACAATGGCGTGGCAAAAATTAATTTTTCTGTCATTTTAAAATTGAGCTGGTCTACTCCAGAAGATCCCAAGAGTTAGAGGCTATAGTGAGCCTTGATCCTGTCACCGCACTCCAGCCTGGGTGACAGAGTGAGACCACAACTCACCAATAAGTAAATTAATTAAATAAATAAAGTTGATGTGGTCATTAACCTGTAGAATTCACCTTCTATTTTCAAAATCTTGAGTAAGAGAGGAATCAAACACTTTGAAAGACATAATTTTTATAGGTCAATTATACCTTAATAAAGCTGGGGGGGTGGAAAATTTGTTTCATTTCTGATTTTTTTCCTTACAGGAAAAAAAATATTCTAGAGGTGGAATCAGAGGGCATGAATGCTATACAGAAAAGTAAGAATTAGGCTGATACTACAAATTACAGAAAAGATTGAAACCCATATTCTCCTTAGAAGCAGTTTCAGCCCTTATATTCACCTGAAGGCTACTTCCATATCACAAAATACATTTATTTCCTTTACCAAGTCACAATTCCTTCCAAGACACTAATCAACATTAATAATGTTAAATCTGTGACCCTTATTTTTGTATTAAAGCGGGGATATATATATTTTTAAAAAAACAAAGGGAAAGAAATCTCTCAAAGTATAGCTTATTTTAAAAAGAAATGAAAAGTATTATGACATAGTGTATGAAAGGCTTTTTTTAGGTCAGGCATAGTGGCTCAAGCCTGTAATCCCAACACTTTGAGAGGCTGAGGCAAGAGGACTGCCTGAGTAACTTGGAGAGACCTCATCTCTACAACAAATAAAAAAAACTAGCTGGGCATGGGGCCGTGCGCCTGTAGTTCCAGCTACTTGGAAGGGTGAAGTGGAAGGATCACCTGAGCCCAGCAGGTTGAGGCTGCGGTGGCCACTCCAGCCTGGGCAACAGAGTGAGACTACAACTCAAAAAAAAAAAAAAGGAAGCCTAGGACCAATCCATTTTCAGCCAGTTTAACAAAGAATTCACTTTTTATTTTAATTTCATTTACAATGGTTGCTTTTCTTTGACTTTTAGAGTACTTACTGCTATAAACATTTTTATCTATTTACTCACGAAAGGTATCAAAACAAACAAATGCAACTGTGCAGGACAGTAAATGACAAAACATCTCCTAATATGTACTTATAAAAGTGTGATTGCCCCCACTTTTTTCTTCTTCCTTGGTTACAGAAGAGGTAGAATGATAATATGAATATTATAATTCTAAGCATAAACTATGATTACTTAAATCTCTAGCTGATAAAACCAGTCAAGTACAGTTGCTCTGATCTGCATTTCGTAAATATTACTAGTCAGAAAATTCAGAGTCAACATTATTCAAAGCAAATTCATTTAGCTTAACATTCCTGAGTATTAAGCCTAAAGAAAGAAGAATGAAGCAGTTAAATGCAAAGTAAATATCCTGCCAGAGATGATGAAAATTTCCTATTTATACTCAGAGGAGTACTCTTCAAGCAATCAAAAGGCACAGTACACAAATTGAGCACATTTTATCAAAATAATTTATTAAATTCCCAAAGAAAAAATGCAGATCTTTGGTGTGGACCACTAATAAATGTAAGGCACATCAATTTACAAATAAGAATTAAAATTTTTCTTAAGGAATATTGTCTACATCGTTATAAACAATAATGAACTAAATGAACTACATTTTTACAGAAAAATGAACTAAAGCTGAATGAGTTAAATCACAAACCTGAAACTGTGGAATTGTCATTTCAAAGGACTTGGTCTTCACTTGGCCTGAGTGATCTGCCACTTTGAGCATCACTGTCACATAAGGATACTTGAGAGATCTGCAACTGTCTGAGCTCACAGCCATTCCCAGTTTCCATTGAAAATCTATAAGCTTTAATGAAACAGTACCAAAAAATACATTAGTAGTAATGGCACTTTGAAAGGAGATATTCAATTTTACTGCTCTCACACTCAACTTTTAGTTTCATAGTAAAATAAAATATCTTTCATTTTAATATTGTCAGAGGAACAATAATCAAATAAAAATGGAGAGGTAGTAAGAAATAAACAGAGTTAGAAAACACTGTCAATGTTAAAAAAGGAAAAAAGCAAAAAGTGAAAAAAACCAAAGAAATCTCTACCCAGCACCTAATGGAAGGGGAACAAAGATATGGCAGTATCAGTTTTCTTTAACAGGCTTAGACTTTGCTGCTGCACCTCAGGGGACTCCAATGCTTTGGAGCATCTCTTACCTCACTTTCCTGTCCCATGTATGCCCTCCCCCATTCCATCCCAAAAGTCCTAAAACAGATGATGGGTTGTATGATCTTCTTAGTTGATTGAGGCACAAATGGGAACCATTCCATTTCTTTCCTAACCATAGTCCTCAAGCTCACACCTTGCATTAGCATAAGTAGTGATAAGGTTTTGAATTTTATCAGTGTTCATGATGAATACATGCCCCAGGTGACATGCTATACAGTTCATATATTAAATATGTCACTGAATCACCATATTACAGGTTATTATTTTCATTGAGCGTATGCAAAATCCAATTTTTTTTAGAGCACTTAGGAGGTTGTGCAGGTTACATCTTTCTAGAATCAGAATTGAAACCAAAGTCTATCTGACTCCAAAGATTACATGCTTATTGACTACTGACTGCCTCAACACTTTTTAATCTAACTCCTGTCAACGATTGTTCAGTGATGTCATGGCACAAAACAGGACTGGGTAATTGCAATTCTTAATACAGACTCTGCAACATAGGACTGTGGGTGGAGGAATCTTGTCTGTCTTGTTTCCAAAGCTGAGCCTGGCACACAGCAGGTGCTCAAAAAGTGCTTGCTCATTGACTAATACCTTTTGCTACCACACTAATGCTGACCAGGTAAAAAGTTTTGCTTATTAATACATTTCTTTTTAAAAGGTGGGATTGGTATGTGGACCAAAATTTCTCCTGTTTCAGACAAGTTTTGGACCTGTCTTTTACATCGTTAACGCCAAGATGGTGCTGATAAAAGGTTAAGTAAAAAGACTGTATAAATTCATTTTAATAAAATTCTCCACATAAAAATAGAGAACAGAAGGTAAATCACAAAATAATTACAAATGGCTACTAAACATGAAAATGTGCTCACTTTCATTAAAAACAGGGAAGTACATGGCAAGACCTTGTCTCTACAGTAAATCAAAAAATCAGCAAGGCATGGTGTGGCACATGCCTGTGGTTCCAGCTTCTTGGAAGGCTGAGGTGGAAGGATCACGTGATCCCAGCAGGTCAAGACTGCGGTGGCCATGGCGTGCCACTGCACTCCAGCCTGTGCGACACAGTGAGACTACAATCCAAAAAAAGAAAAAAAAAGGAGGGGGGGAATACAAATTAAAGCCATAATGTGACACCACTATACATCTACCAAAATAGCAAAAATTTAAGTTTGGTAATTGCAAGTATTGGCAAGGAAGGATGTGAGACAACAGAAGGGTCACATGCTGGTGATGGAAGTCTAAACTTGGCCAATCTTTAAAAAACAAACAAACATAAAAACTGGCTTTACTTGCCTAGTAATACAGGAGTTATACATAACGTATTACAACAATTCCACTAGAAATATGACCTAGGAAATCTTGTGCATATGTACACAGGATACCTATATGGGAATGTCCCTAATAAGTTTATTCATAATAGCCCTAACCTGAAACAACCCAAATGTTCATCAGTAATAAAATAGATAAATGAGATGCTCTATAGCAATGAAAATAAATGAACTTCAGTTCACTCATTTAACAGAACTTAACACCAAAAATGTTAAAAGGAACAAGTCAAAAAGTTATATAAGTCTGTCTACTTACACTTGAGAAAACAACTGGTAAAACTATAAAGAATGTGATTACCACAAGAGGATAACTGCAACACTGGAGTGGAGGGAAGGAGGAGTTGATTGGAGAGGGGCATGTGGTAGGTTTCTGGAGTATTGGTAATACTCCATTTTTTGACTTTTGATTGTGGTTACACAGGTGTTCACTTTTAAATAATTCATTAAACTGTCCAGTTTATGAACTTCTTGATATATATGTTATCTTACACATATAGTCAGGGGAGAGACAAATACAAGTCAATTGGTATCATATTTTTGGCTGAAAGGAAAAATTGACTGTAAACTTAGATTAAGAGTGTGCTTTATAGAGGAGATAAGCTTTATGCTTCATTTTGAAAAATAAACTGAACGAGAATAGGAAAATGTGCTTTATTTATATAGTCCATAAATATACAGCTAGCAAATAAACACATAATAAGCATGAAGCTGATCCAACTACAGATGCAAACAGTAACATCTGGTTTAGGGACAGAACATGTATCCATCTTAAAGTAGAAGGCATTTGTGAGGAATTATGGAAAATAAAGTTGACAGAAGAGATTTTTAAAAAGCTAGTCGTCCTTTGCAAATTGATCTCTCAGAGGTTTTCAAAATACTCTCATATACTTTACCTTATTATGGAAAATGGTAAACAGTGAGGACTCACTGAAAGTTTGAGTAAAGAGAATATCAAAGTATTGATTAAGAAATATTAATCTGGGCCAGGTGTGGTGGCTCACAAGTTTAGGAAGCTGAGGTGAGAGGATTGCTTGAGCCCAGGAATTTGAGACCACTCAGGGCAACACAGCAAGACTTCATCTCTACAAAGTAAAATCAGTCCCACAGGAGGCTGAGGCGGAAGGATCACCTGAGCCCAGGAGATCGAGGCTACACTGAGCTGTGATCATGACGCTGCACTACAGCCTGGGCAACAGAGTAAGATACCAACTCAAAAACGAAACAAAACAAAAACACTAAAAGAAATATTCATCTGATGGCAGCAGAAAACAATAATCTAAGCATGAGGCTCTAAGTGCCTAAATTAAGGTGGTGACAAGTAGGATTAAGCCTTAGCTAGGTCTTAATGATTGTCTACACAGTTAAGGGATACAACTATAAATAACTAAACATTTGTGCCTGGAAAACTGGAAGACTGCTGATATCATGTGTCAATCAGGAATTTATATATTTTAAGTCCAAAAGTATCATTAAGAGACGATGTTAGGGATATCTCAATAGGAATGTTAGGTAAAGTGGCTAAAAGTCCAAGAACACAATTCAGGTAAGTTCATGAATATAGAAAGTTTTTACTTCAGTTCAACAGTGAGATCAAAAAATCAAACCAGGAATTTCATATTCCTATATTATACAGCCTATACAACTCCTTGATGGAAGATGATCCATTTTTACCACCCACATTAAAATGGTAGAGGAAATAATTCTACTTGATAATTCTACTTGACTCTCAGAAACTGAAATAAAACTAGATTATCTAGAACATTGCAAGCACAAAAGCAATTAAGGAGCACAATGTTGGAATTCACTGACCATTAAACAGTAAAGTTGTAAGACAAGGAAATAGGGAGAGCTGCCATCAAGACACTTACTGTGTCAAGTTAGTATTCACAAGTGTAAGAAAGCTAAATTAGGTTTATGAGATGAGAGTTTCCAAAATTCTCAACTCAATACTTAGATGCAAACTAGAAGCAAAACTACTAATAAATGTGGTTTAGCCTTAAATGAGAATTAACTGCAAAGGCGATTTTAAAAAAATAATAAAAGAATCTGAAAGAAAAAAATCAGACGAGAGCATGATTACAATTTACATGGTAGTTCCAAAATTCTTGTAGAATGAAGAAAGTTATTTTCAAAAAAAACATACAAAGGAAAAAAGCTAGTAGTGAAAAAATACAAAAATATCCAGAAGTAAAATGAATACAAAGAAAAAGAATCAGAAAGTATATATAAAAAGATAAAAAAAGAAATTAGCCGTAGTCACACTAAAAATTAACTGAAATATAAAATAAGAAATATAAGAATATCACTATTAAAAGTCCACAAGCCGGACACAGTGGCTCATGCCTGTAATCCCAGCATTTTAGGAGGCTGAGGCGAGAGGACTGTCTGAGTCCAGGGGTTTGAGACCAGCCTGGGCAACTTGGTGAGACCTCGTTTCTACAATAAATCAAAAAACTTAGTCAGGCGTGGTGGCACACACCTGTAGTTCCAGCTACTAGGAAGGCTGAGGTGGAAGGACTACCTGAGCCAGCAGTTGGAGATTGTGTTGGCTGTGAGTATGCCACTGCAATCAGCCTGGGCAACAGAGAGACTCCAACTTAAAAAAAAAAAAAGCGTCCACAATTCACATATTTTGAGTAAGGAAGAGAGGTCCCATTATTCACTAAGTATTTACTAGGTAATACTATGTTCTAGTCATTGGTGGTGTAAAAAATAAAAGTTCCTGTAAATTCCAAAGATAGACATAAATAAATATATAATAAAATTATAGTAAGCATTATAAAGTGTAAAAAATGCAGGGTAAGGTGACAGAGTGACTAGAGAGGCTATTTAGATAGAGGCTGGCTCTTTGAGGAGGTAGCTTTTCAGTAGAGCGACCTGAAGCAGGGCCATTGCCTTGCTAGACTCTGGTGTGGCCATGTGCTCTTTGAGCTATGACTGTCGCCATGCTTCCTGGCTTTGGCCTCCTCCCCCATCTTGGGGAGGTGAATCTTCTTTCTCCCTTCTCTCTAATTTACTTTTAAGTAAATTTTTCTTTAAAAAAAAAAAAAGAAAGTTTGAGCAGTGGAGAAGCCTGGTCTAACTTAGATTGCAAAAGGCACATCCAGAGTTCTGGATGAGGCACAAGTTTAAGAGAGAAAGCAGGAGACCCAGTTAGGAGGCTACTGTATTCTAAAAGAGTATGGTGGCTTAGACTCAGGTGGCTGGAAAGGGAGATGAATTTAGATTATATTTGTTTTTAAGTAGTGAAAACAGTATGCTAATGGACCATATGTGAGGTATGAGAGAAAATGAGTTCCCAAGATTACAACATATAACTAATATTTAAGGCAGATAGATATTAGCTTGAATTCCTTGAACTATAGTGCTTGCTTGCTTTCTTTAAACAATTCTTATAGAATTCTTATATGAATTAACAATTCTTATATGAATTAGCAAGGTTAATTGGAACCACACCTCCAGTAAGTGGCCAGAAAAATGACAAGCTAGTAATTAAAAATCAATGTTCTCAATGCTGTTACTAATAATAGCACCACAGTTACTATAATGGGTCCTGAAATTAAAGCTCTTCAATGGAAAATAAGTATACATTTTTTTACTAAGAGTCTGTTTTTTGGTTTTTTTTAAACTAAGAGTTAATGTAAGAAAGGATTTGGGAACTGTTAACTGGGAGCGAAGTCCTTAAGAAACTTTGAGGTTAATATTACCTTGGGGAATTAGTTAAGTTGCATTCATAAAGAAAAGGCAGCCATAATTTTGGAACTTAGGCTCTGCTTCAAAAATTTTTGATTTGCTTTAACTCAGCCCTGCTCTCTTCCTTAAAGTTATTGATGTTAGTAAATGATAGCCACTACATTTCCCTAAATAAATTTAGTTTACATTTTTTGCTTTTCAGTCAATAATAATGTTTGGTCACTAAAATTGTTCTGAGAGATGTATACACTAAATATAAGTGTCATAATAACCCCAGGGGTGAATACAGTTATCCTCGTTTACTTACTTTTCAGCTCTTTCTTACTTCTCTCTCCAAATCTTGAATATTACTCCCTCAACCTCTGCTGATGACCCTGCTTTTATAACTAATCTCACAATAAAAAAAAAAAATTAGCCGGGCATGATAGCGCGCGCCTGTAGTTCCAGCTACTTGGAAGGCTGAGGTGGAAGGATCACCGGCGCCCAGCAGGTAGAGGCTGTGGTGGCCGGGAGCGGTCACTGCACTCCAGTCTGGGTGACAGAGTGAGACTTCAACTCAAAAAAAGAAAATAGAAACACCTAGAACAGAATATCCTCATTTCTCATCACCACATTTAGCATTCTGCCTGCCTTCCTTCTCTGCCCTTTCTTCTGTAATTATGGTCTGTCTAAAGCCAACCTCTTTCTAAAAAAAAAAAAAAATTTATTTTAAAGTTGTGGGTTACAAGTCAGGATTGGATACATAAGTGGTTTAGGTATAGGTGAAGTTTTGGACCACCCATTGGACCTCACTGGATTAGGATCAGACACCTTTACTGCCTTAAATATTAGCTATACCGGGTATATTTATAAAGTATATACAGAGACTTGACGATGGAGTTACATCCTGCAAAGTCTGTAAACTGAAGATATCATAAGTCAAAAGTACATTTCAATACACCTAGCCTACCTTTTAATGATGCTTAGAACACTTAAACTAGCCTACAGTTTGGCAAAGCCATCTGGCAACATGGCATGCTGTACAGCATAGGTTACTTACCCTTGTCATTGCAAGGGTGACTGGAGTTGGTGATAGCTGCTGCTGCCAGCAATATAAGAAAGTGCCCTACCACTTTCTATGGAATGCATACTGCTTTCACACCATTGTAACACCAAAAACGTGTAAGTCAGACCTTCATGAACCAGGGACCATCTGAATTACAAACCTAAGTGACTCGTAGCTAGGTACTGGATTTTTTCCCCTCTATAACTCTTGAAAACGCATTACCATTTTGTCTAGCAGTCTATTAAAAAACACATCATGGGCAGGGCGCGGTGGCTCACACCTGTAATCCCAACACTTTGGGAGGTCTAGGCGGTAGGGCTGCTTGAGCTCGGAAGTTCAAGATCAGCCTAGGCAACATGGTGAAGATCCGTCTCCACAAAAAAAAAAAAAAAAAAATTAAAAATTAGTCGGGTGTGAAGGGCCGCATACAAAAATATATGCTCTAAAAAGTTAGAAATTAAGTTATACTCTATCTTCAAATAACTTTCTTAAAAATTAAGAAAATGTCTGCAGTGCTATCTTTGTCAACTGTAATAACTGATATCTATCACATTCTAAAATACTGTGTTCCCAGCTTCAAACAAGTGTTGCCAAATGAAACACGAACGATGCGTGGTCTGTATTCTGAGCTGGGATGGGTGGGGGAGCTTTAATGACAATGGCGGCCACTAGCAGCCCAGGTGCAGAGGAAGGCGGAATGCCGGGAGGCGGGCTGAAGATCGTAGCTCACGGACAGGACCTTGCCGTCTCGCAGCTGTGTGAAGCGAGCCCGGTGCTGCCGCCCACCCCTTGTCCAGCGGAGGCCGGCCGAGGACAGGACGGGGCGGCCACTCACTCACCTGGTTGGTGACCTGAAACGGAAGCAGAAAACATAATGTAGGGAAAGACCTTTCTTGCTCCGGAGCCCAGCTGTCCCCTCTCCTTCCAGGCTGTGACTTGCCTGGGACTTAGCATCCAGCCGCGGCTCGCTAGACCCTTCCATGACCAGAGACCAAGGTCTGCGCCGCGGACTCAGGTGGACGCCAGCCAACACTTCCGCTTCCACTTCCTGCCCCTCGCGGGCCGACGCACGCAGAGGACGTGGGGGGGGGGACAGAAACAGGCATTGGTGTAACGCATCTTTCGTCATAACTAAACATCAGCTTTAAAGAAACACTGAGTAAACTTTAATAACTGTGGAGAGAAGGTCCAAAAACTTGGGAGGTCCTTTGTGAAGGGAAGTACTATTGAAATTGAGGATGCTGCCTCCCCCATCGAAGGCTGTAGACGTGGGTTCTTCCAAACCGGAGCTCCACCCCCCCCCCCCAGCATGGCCTCTGCGCCTGCGCGAGCGTGTGGCTTCGCAAGTAATTGATCCTAAGCAAACTTGGAAGTAATTCGGTGACCGCACCTGAGACTTGTAGAGGATTGTCTTGCGAGAAAATTGCCTGTGGGAACTATAGAATGAGCTTCCGTCACTCGGATTTACTTCCCTAGACTAGCTGTGTGCGGGGGACGCTTTTGTTTATCTCCGCCGTCACTGTCCTACTCCAGTTTCATCTTGACTTCAATACCTTTCCATCTGGGCTTCCCACTTCTATTCACCTCAAATCCATTCTACACAAAACAGATAAAGTGATTTTTTTCCTCGCTAGATTTTTGTTTAGAAAAAAATTTTAATTTATCCAGAAAAGCCCAAAAATAAAATGTCAATGAACATCCATATACCCTTCATCTAAATTCTCCAACTGTTAACAATTTATGCACTTGCTTTTTCTCTGCCTAGGTACATAGCCGTGATGTTACTTCACCCCTAAATACTTGAACATGTATCTCTTAAGAACAAGGGCATTCTCCTAAAGGACCACAGTATGACTTTATACGTGGGAAATTTAACATTGATGAAATACTATTATCTAATAAATAGGCCAAATTGAAATGTCCCCAGTTGCGTCAACACCATTCTTTAAAATTATTCCCTATCCCATCCACCACCTGAATCTAATCAAGGACCGCCTTCAATATAGTTATCATATCTCTTAGTATTCTCTCGTCTAGAACTGCATTGGCAAAGTTTCAGCAAGTCGCTGTCCCTTATTGGAAGTTCTGGGGAAGAATCTGCTTTCAGGCTCATTCTGGTTGTTGGCAGAATTCAGCTCTATGCTGTTGTTTTCTTGCTGGCTTTTGGATAGGGATTCTCAGCTACCAGAGGCCGACAACACTCCTTGGCTTGCAGCCCCATTCTTCCATCTTCAAAGCCAAGCCAGCAATGACAGGTCAAGTCCACCTTGCAGTTTGAATCTCTCTGATCTCCTCTTCTGCATCATCTCTCTTGTACCTTCATTTATCACATCTGACTCCTGCCTGGGAAGGTTCACTATTTTTAAGGACTCAGGTGATTATTAGACCAGGCATCCCCAAATAATCCAGAATAACCTCACCGTCTTAAAGTGCATAATTTTAATTATATCTGTGAAGTCCCTTCAGGTTAGTGCCTAAATTAGTGTTTCATTGAAAATCTTTGGAGGGGAGCATCTTTAGAACACCACTTACTGCAAACAGCCTCATAGGATTGTTGGAAAATTACATTAGTTAATGCAAGTTAATCTCCTAAAACTATCCTTAGCGTGTGGCTCTAATAATCTAGACAACAACAACAACTACTGACTCAAGGTTATCGGACCAGGTTAAATGCACTAATTAACTTGGGAACATAGTCCTTGAATGAGTCAGATAATTTATTTCTCATGCAAGTCTGATGAAAAGGTAGAACACTGTTGTGCATCCAGCTTGTCAGTACATCCATTACATTAGTCAGGAAGTCTTTTTCTTAAGTTATCGGTGCCATCAAATGTATGCTTCATGGTTGGGGGCTGAATGTACACATGAATCTCAACTTTGTAAAAATGTTTCAAAAAGTGAAAATAAACAGATTTCAAAAGTTAATTTTTGTTTCTTTGTATTTTTTAATGCATTCTTTAAAAAATTTTTATTAGTAGTAGTATACAACATGAGTGCTCCTTTCAAAAAAACTGTTGATCTAATTTGAGGAGCATAAAATGTCAGTACCTTTTAGGGTAATTTTTGCCAATTGTTACTCTTATTTTTTGTGCACTTGACCCTCCAGTAACAATGTGATAAACCTATGTGATGTGAGTTTTTTGTTAATTTTTCACGACCTCCATCTTACAAGAGGTCAGAACCTATACAAACATCACACTTGGGGAATACAGATTTTATGAATAGAGTCAAGAAAAATGCTAAATATAACTTTTGTTTTACTTATATTTATTTTTACATTATGACATGTAAGTAGAACACATAAATCAGAAAATGCTTTTAGAGCTCTTACAATAAACTTACTACTGTTATATGCATAGGAGAAAGTCCATAGAACATTGGTATAAACTCTGATCGTATGAGGATTATAGTGCAAAGGAGAAAATAAAATTGACATATATGAAGCAAATAATACTTCAGTTCAAGCACGTATTTTTATGAGCTTTTTTGTGCAAAGTAATATACAGTCATTCCTCAGTATTCAGAGGACTGGGGACTGGTTCCAGGACCCCGGAGTGTACCAAAACCCAGGGTTATTGAAGTCCTGCCTTTAGCCCTAAGAAACCTGCCTACAGGAGAAATTGTCCCTCTGTATATATGGATTTTGCATCCCTGAATGCTGTATTTTCCATCTATATTTAGTTGAAAAAAAAATCCCTGTAGAAGTAGACCCATGAAGTATTTATTGCTCAAGGGCCAACCATAATTCCATCTCAAGGTAGCATAAGCAAAATAGCAGGCATGATTGTCTCACAGGGCAGCCTCTGAAATGTGCAGCCATCTGCAGGATCAAGAGAATTGGAAGATTTGAATAGCAAGAGTGCCAGTCTCTGCTTCAGAGTTGTGATCTGGCCTTCTACTTCTCTGTTGACTTCTCTCTTCAGCTTCTCCACATGTTGTTGGGGAGGGTATGTGTCTATAGACAAATGACTTTGAAGGTGTTGTCAGTCAGAGGCTCAACAGGGAGTTGCTGGGCCAATGTCCTCAACATGACCACCATCACTAGGGTCATAGCCTTATAACTCAATCCAAGGACAAAAAAGTTGACCTTTCATCTCGATTCTCAGAGAAGGACTCTGATTGACATACTTGGGTCATATGCCCTCTCCTTGGACAAATATTGGGTCTGGTGATGCACTATTATTTTTGTCCCATTTCCCTTATTGTGTCCATGAGGGGTAGAGTTGTGTTATCAGAAGAGTCACGAGCAGCAAAAGGAGTGAAAAGATGTGTCCTATAGGAGATAGAGCTGAAGATGATATGACAAAACTCGGATAAGATACTAGAGAAACAAAAACAATAAATGTCCACTAAGCATATTTACTGTACTATATTATACTATACTGTACTGGCCTATATTATTAATGGGTGTGGTATACAGAATAATGGCCCTCCAAAGATGGCCACTTTCTAATCCCCATAATCAACAAATATGCTGTTGCATGTCAAACTAAATGACAAACAGAGAGAGCCTTTCTAAAAGAAAATGATATTTACTCTAGAATAGGACATTGCAATGGGAATGTACATGCTATAGTAAACTGTGTGTGCATTAAGGGAGGCAAAGGAAAACAAGGCTTTTTAAAGGAAAAGTGAGGAGAATTATATAATTGTTTTGAGATAATTATTCTTGGCTATAAGAATGAGGGGGAAACCCAAAAAACCTGGAATCTATTTATTTAAAAATTGTGTATTTATTCTTGTATGTTTAAACTTCAGTCACCTTCACTCTCTGTTTCATGCAATACACCTACCAAGACGCTTTTTCTACTGGTCAAAACAGTTTTTGAACTTATCAGTTTTGATGCCTTTTAGTGCTTCTGCCATTTTTTGTTTCACCTTTTCCACATTGGCAAAATGTTTCCCTTTGAGGACTTTTTCCATCCAGAGAAACAACAACAACCAAAAGGCACTTGGGTGATATCGGTTGAATAGGGAGGGCGGGGCACAGGGTTCATGACATTTTTTGTCAAAAACTGTGAACACTCAGCATGGTGTGGGCAGGTTGTTTGTGTACATTATCCGTCATAAAATGGACCAACACACTGAAAGAATCTGCAAAAAGAATTCATTGAAGCTGAATATAGCCTCTCACAACAATGCTAACTGGTACACTGATGGGTTCCTGGAACACTTACCTAACAGGGGTAGCTTGTACTACAGAGGACCTACCCTCCAAAAATAATTCCGGGGTTTTTTGGGTCTCCCTTCGTATGTATAACAAGGGCGTTGCCAGTCAGAGACTGGATAGGCAGTTGATGGACAGATGTCCTCAAAGAATTATTTTTTGTGTAACGGTGCAATGGCCTTTGTGCAAGGTGGTGGTTTGGGCAGAGTCTTTTGTGACAGTTTTTGTTACCAGGCATTTACACACGAAAGTCCTCTCTTCATGGTCTTCCCTGGCTGTTTGTCAAGGTTTTTTGTTTGTTTGTTTGTCTTTTTAACGCAGGTGACTCTATTTTTATTCAGACAATTTTCACAATTACATGGCAAGGGGGAATTAACGATGCTAATCAGTTAACTTTAAAAGAAGGAGAGTTTCCAGATTATTCCGGTGAGTCAACATATTGACAAGGGTCCTAAAATGTGGAAGATGGAAATTGAGCAGTTAGAATCAGAGAAAGAGTGTCAGAGTGATAAATACCATGTAAGAACGACTCAGCTAGCCTTTGCTAACTTTGAAGATGAAAGCAAGTCAAGAGTCAAAGCTGAGGCTGCCGGCTGGAATAGGAAACAAAACGGATCCTCTCATATATCTCCTGTATGGGTTCCAGAAGGAGAAGAGCCCTGTCAACCCTTTGATTGTAGCCTAGTGAAACCCATTTTAGACCTCTGACCTTCAGAGTATACAATAATAAATTTGTGTTGTGTTAAGCCGCTAAATTTGTTAGCAGTAGGAAACTAGTACAGTGGAGAATGAAAGTGTGACTTCAGTGAAGTTAGCCTTTCTGAGCATCAGCTTTCTTATCTGAAAATTAGGGCTATCAATATTTGTCTCACCAAGTTTTTATGAAAGGATAAGTTAGATCTTGTATGTAAAGCATGTAACAAAGTTTCTGAATACATTAAGTGCTCAATAAATACTAGCTGCTATTATCATCATCATAATTGTCAATTGTCCAAAGACGCCTGTAAGATATCTAGATCATACCTTCTCTTCATTTTATGGGTGAGAAAACTGAAGTGCGGGGACATTAAGCAACATCACCTGGTTAATAGGTAAAACTTTAAAGTCAGGTTTTAATTTACGATCTGCAGTCTAATTTCAGACAGCTCTGGAGGGATTCTAAATTCTCAGTGTATCTCCTTAAATGTTTCTCAGTTACTTTCTGCTAATAGAATGTTTTACTTGTAATCCAGGTTATTCAAAAGATGAGTGATTCTGTGTGTGTTATGTGATCAGTGAATAGCATAGACAGGATGCAGAACTGGGAAAAGCATGATCACGAATCATAGAATTATAGAGGTGTCAGAGCTTGAAGTTGGACTCAAATTCCTAGCCCTTGGGCCAAACCTAGCCTGCCTCATATTTTTTTAAAAAACAACAATAGTTTTGTTTTTTCCTCATTCGAATGCAGTGTGCCAGTAAGTGTGCCAATTCACACCCTTACTTGAAAACTTCAAGACAGTTTTCCATCTTTGGCTGTTAAGATAAATAATATAAGATAGTTAGTAGTGAAGGCAATGTGCCATGAATGAGTTACAGGTGTTTGAGAGACTGACCCCACCCTACCCCCATATCCCTAGGGGCAACTGTGGGGGACATGAACCTGGAAGATTCCTGGGCTGGTTACTACTATAACAAACAAGTCAGGTGTGTGTACACATACTGAACTGCATCAGTTCTTAGACATGATTTTTTCACATTTAACATCTCAGGAATTATAATGCACACTGCACCAGATGGCTTCTTACAGTAAGGGTTAACTGGGCAGCAGTTAGGACTCAGTTGTTTTTGCAGGTGTATTGTGAACTGTTCTTCTACACTTCTGTTTTGAATATTGTTGACACTATACTTACTGTGTTTAAGTGTCATTTTAAATGTCTTTTAAAAGATGATGCTGTGATTTGGCATAACAAAAAGTTACAGGGTATGGAAATGGTATGAAAACAGAACAGCCAGTTGTAAACTTGTATTCATGAGGCAAATATGGGTTAGTGGAGGAAGAGCCACAATTCCATGTTTTCTTGAAGCGACTAAATAATTTAAAATTCCTAAAAAAAAAAAAAAAAAAAAAAGGAGGGGGGGAAGGGATAGCTTTGAGCAGATAAAGCAAAAGAGTTGCTTATTCCAGTTTAAGGTGGGAGAAATCACCAAATCCCTCAGAATATAAGAAAGACATTCATAACGATGAGAGAACAATTTTTGAGTCACAGGTATTCTTGTTAAGACATCAAACACTAATTTGTCAAAAATGTCCTGCTGTCTTGACTAGAAGTTACTAAATTTCTAAAAATGTATGATTCATTAGTTGCTGAAAAATGTAACATAATACAACATGAGACCTCATCTCTACCAAAAAAAAAAAAGCCATACAGGGTAACCCACAGCTGTAGTCCCAGCTACTCAGGAAGCTGAGGCAAAAGGATCACTTGAGCCCTGGCGGTCGGTCGAGGCTGCAGTAAACTGTGATATTATGTCACTGCACTCCAGCCTGGGCAACACAGTGAGACTCCAAATAAAAAAAGAGTAAAATATTTATTAAAATTTTCCCCTATGATAATATTGCATATACTCACAAGATGCAACGTTTTAGTTGATGGTATATATAGTTGGCATCAACACTGAACTAACAAATACTGAGCCATTGTTTCTAGTGGAAATACAGGTTAGATTCCTGTGAGCCCGTGGTCACAACATTTTATTAGTCACTCAATACATACCCTTGTTTTATGTGCATTTATGTTCAGAGAACCTTAATATATATTGTTGATTCATTAACATTGAACTACAGCCAATAGCACTGCAACTCAAAGCCTGAACTAAACTTATCTAACACACATAATTCTTTATAAGGCACATTGTAGCTTTCTTGGGCTTAGGAATATTAGAAAGCACTTGAGAATTATGTTTGGGGGCCATTTTAAATGGTTAATTCATTTTAAAAAATGAGAAAAATAGCACCAAAAAGAAAGGGACATTTGTTTACAGTAAGAGAAGGTTAAAAAATTGGGACCAATGATTCCAAATTTTGGGCTTCATCTCAGACTTATTGAATCAAAATCTGCATTTCAGATTCCCTAGGTGTTTGCAGACCCACTCAAGACTGAGAAATACTGCCCTCAATACCATGGTAGGTGCATTCATGCCAGAGGTGGAAGTTAAACTGTACCAAGATTAGAGACTTGCTACTTTTGTAAAGTTTTTATGGGTCCAAAGGGCTGGGGTTTGCTAGGACAACCTCTTCAAAGTGAAAGACAAGTTACTGTCCCCTTGCAATTCCAGGAAAGAGGCATTGGTGGGCTTCTTTGGTTTTCGGAGGCAACACAGCTTCAACACATTAACTGGGTGGCATAAGGCTGCCAGTTTGAGAGCATTCCTGAGAGAGTGTCCTGTGGTAAATCCATGCTGAGATTCAAACTGCCTTGCCATTTGGACCTGTGTTCAGCAGACCCAATGGCGGTAGTGTTTATGGTGGATAAGAATGCTAAGTGGAATCTTGAACATGTCCTTACACAGTGCAGAGCCTCAGGGTTCTGGAGCAAGGCCATTATTTTGACAGTAAGTCATTTGAAAAGCAGACCCTGGAATGCACATGAGATCTGGCCATGCAACACTAATGATAATGCAATTAGGCCCATCATAAGCTAAACATTGCCAGTTTTACGAAGTCAAAGTGTTGGGTGGGTATAGCAGCAATCCATCAGGTAGATAAGGAGAAAGAGGAGTTAAGGGACTGAAATGGCTTTGAGGTCAAAGAACAGTGCCAGAAGAACATGGGTGGGAGAGCTGGAAGTTCTCTAGAAACAGCATGTCCAGCATAATAAAATTATCTTTTTCCTACTCCCTAATGCCTCTCTCCCTGAATTTCCTCTATGAGGTGCAGGATGGTAATATGTATACTACCCCAGGTCAAATTTCTGGAATTTTCATGGATGACTCCTGCTCATCAAATAAATAGTTTTTTAAAAATAGTATCTCTTTAATCTGTGCCTGCCTTTCCTTCTCCATGGCTACTGTCTTAATTTTTTCAGCATTTCTTTCATGCAGATTTTCCCTATTACTGACAAGTGTTTTTTGCATATTATGTATTATGTGTATGTATGTATGTTGAGGTCTTACTCTGTCGCCTAGGCTGGGGTGTATTGGCCTGATCATGGCTCACCACAGCCTTGATCTCCTGGGCTCAGGTAATCCTTCTACCTCCAGAGTAGCTGGGACTACAGGCATCACCACACAAAAAATTTTTTGATTTTTTTTTTTTGTAGAGACAGGAGCTTGCTATATTGCCCAGGCTGGTTTGCATATCTGGTTAACCCATTTATTCTTCAAATATTCACTGTATAGCAGGTACTGGGTTAGGTCCTGGATAAACCATATGAAGAAGAAAAAAGACACTGCTGCTGGTCTTCTGGAATTTACAGTTTGGTGGAGAAGAGATTAAAAAAAAAATTCTTCTTAACATCCTTCAGTGCTTCTCTGCTGTTTTCAGGACGAAGCCCAGATGTCTTGACCAGGTTGCCTCTGCTTATATCACCAGCATCAGTTTTACCCGGGGCCATTTCCTCTAACAAACTCTGCAGGCACCGTGCACTTTCCCTTCTTCAAATATGCTCCTCTCTGCCTAAAGTCTCCTATCTCTTAAAGGAATCCACTTCCTCAGGAAACTTTCTGGACACTCTCTTTTCCTCCTTGCCTACACTTTTTCTGTAATGCTAGTACAACTCTTGCTATCACTACCACATACGTTTAATCGTGATTCTCAGTTGTCTTGTCCAACGCCTGTACCCTGAACTCAGCTTCGCGTCCCCAACACAGTACAGTGTCCAATGTCAGGTACTTGACATGTTCTGTCAAAAGGAACTGAATAGATGTATACAAACTCCTCCACCCCCCGCAACAGCAGACAAGGCCAACACATCACTTCTGCACCCTGACAAAGGGGGCAACAGGGCCATGATTCCAGGCGTCCTCGAGTCTTCCAGTTTTCTGATGGATAGGAAACCTGGTCCCTATCTCTCAGAATAGGACTCAACGGCGCGCCCTCTAGCGCCTCCAGCTGATACTGCAAAAATGGGAGGGCTCCGGCGAGCACGCGGTCCCAGACCAGCATACGGCGCATGCGTAGAACGGAGCGCTGGGCTCTGCTAGGGAGAGTTCAAGTGTGAGGGGAGCGGACTGTGGATCCCTATTCTCTTTTCCTCCCGAAATAGGGATGTGGCTCCTGTGATTTTCCTCTCCGCCTGTTCCTTAATTGGAAATATAAGGCTCGACCTATAGCTGTGCAGGGAGCGGTTAAGGGGGCTAAGAGTGTTGTCAAATTCTTCTTCGTCCCCTGCGAGACGGTGGGTTGGATAGTCCCAGGTCAAGGCGCGCGGGGGCGGAAGAGGCGGTGGCGGCTGTCAGAGCTGGAGAGGGGCCGGGCGGAGCAGCCATGGAGGGTCAACGCTGGCTGCCGCTGGAGGCCAATCCCGAGGTGAGCGCGGCTCGGGTCCGGTCCTGCGGCCGCGGGCAGGGGCGGAGGGAACCGGGCTGCTGCGACGAGTCCACGGCAGTTTGTCTCTAAACCGTGTCCTCTCTTTGGTTTTCAGGTCACCAACCAGGTGAGTGAAGTGTCTGTCGCTCGGGACCCCGGAATCCTTTCTGTCTGCTCGGTGGGCCGGTTTCCCTGCTGGCCTCCCCCTCCACGCTCCCAAGGATTCTGGGATGTCATTCCGCGAGGGCCCCTCTTGTGCTGCTCAGGCGGGTCCGCCCCTTTTCTCCCTGCCACCTGGCTCCCGGGGATGCGCCCAGCTCCTCAGCCGCTCCGGTCCCCTGCCCCGGCCATCACGTTTCCTGGGGATTCCGGGTTTGAGGGACTTTTACCCTGCATCCCTGTTCCTCTTCCCTCTTCGTTTTGCCTCCTGTAAGTGCCGATTCCATGATTTACCTACTCGTGCACCTTTTGGATGACTAATTTGCCGACACTTCCTGACTCCAAGCTTTGTAAACTCGCCCACCTAGTCCATATAATTTCATCCACCGCCTGAACTATGAAATCATCTTCCAACCATCTTCTCTTGCCCCATCAAGTCACTTTGCCGCCACGCCCCCTTTCTCTTCCAGTCTTTTGGAACTGGAAATTTAGTTGCTTTTATACCGCTGGAAGCTCAATTCAGGCGTTCCCACGCCATTGTTTGCCATCTACAGCCCTTCAAATTCCATCTGGGTATTGGAGGTTGGGGGTTTAAGGAGGGAAGAGGGAAGGAACATCTTCCAGCCACCTGATTAGCAGGGCTACCATACATGCACTTTTGATTTGCTCAGGTGTACCTTGTCTTGTCCTGTTTTTTCACTCTCAACAGCTCGGTTTTTTTTTTTTGCTGCCCTTTTAGTTTATCATGTGGCATACTCCCACCATCCCAAGCTTCCTTCTCACCACTAGGGAATAAAGTTTCATCTTGTACTTAAAAAACTCGTTTTTGGTTTTCAAAGCTTGTAGCAAATTCCCTGGAGAGAGGGACATTCTTGTCTTGTTATCGATCTTAGGGCAAAAACATTTGCTCTTTTGCCATTAAGTGTGTTAGCTATAGGTTTTTGGTAGATGCTTTTTATCAGGCTAAGGAAATTCTCTTTTTTCCCTAGTTTCCTGAGAGTTTTTATTATAAATCAGTGTTGAGTTTTCTCTTGATTTACTGCTTCTTTTGAGATGCTTATTTAAGAAAGAATACCAATTCTACTTAGTATAAACCCATTTATGGCCAGTAAAGCCAGACAAGTAGTAGTAAGAAAAATGCAGACTAATATCTTTCATGAACGTAGACATAGAAATTGTCAACAAAATAGAACACAGCAATAAATATATCAAAAGAGTAACATTTTGTGACCAAGAGCAATTTTTTCTGGTGTTACAAAGCTGATTCACCATTCAAAAATCAATAGACTTTTTAAAAAGTACTGTTTTTAGATGATATTGTTTTAATGAAATATTAGCTTATATAACTAGAAACATTCTGTGATTCAGCTTTTAGTGAACCTTGTTAAACTGTCTTAATAAGCTATAAAATACATTCATTCACCTTAATTAAATAATATTTGGGGGGCACCTTTTTTAATGCCAGTAGTCTGAGCAGGAGGTGGTTATTCTTTGATTGCTAAAAATGTCATAGTTTTCTGCTTTTCATTTCAGTGGGAAAACAGTAAACAAGTAAGCAAACATAATTAGCAGTTGTTATAAGAGCAGTGAAAAAAATTCCAGGGTGCTGTGATGGAGACCATCAGGGAATATTTAATAGGTTAGATAGTGACAGGAGATCTTTCTGAAGTGACAAATATCAGAGAAAAGACTATATTTAGTATATGATTGTACACAATGACATGCTTTTGTGTGGTTTAATTTTGAATTGTTTATTAAATAATGTGCTTTTTAGTGAGAGAATGGCCAAATGTCTAAGAAGTGGTTAATTTTAACTAAAAATTTTGTGGTTTTTTTCCTTATTCTTATGTATTAGAAGCAGAACTAAGAGTAGAAAATAAGCAGAAATTTAATAATTGACTTAGGGTTTGGAGAATTAGTATACCCCAACAATATCCATCCCATCCTCTCTTATTTCCTCAACTTAATGGAATTGTAGGATGTTGATCTCACTCTGTTACTATCTGGTAATTGCCTATGTTATTATTCTACTCTTGGTTTAAGCAAATTCTGCTTTATGCTCTAATGATGTCTAGTGTTGTAAAAGAATGGTCATTACATGTCTACTATATGCAGATCAGTATTAATTGCTAGATATTATCTAGTAACCATGGGTCCCAGTAGATGTAAGCGGTGATTTCTCTGGTTGGTTAGGATGTTGTCAACTGTTTTTAATGATGTTTAGTCTTGCTACAGGTAGGCATTACTTAGAATAAAATCAGTTAAGGGATTAAAAAAACTACCTATGCATTTAAAGGGGTAAAAGCCACTTGCAACTGATGGAGAGTTAATTAAGCATCAAAAATTATAACATTCTTTAAAGTACAAAATGTGGTATGGGCAGTCATTATGATGTATGACCACACTAGAGTTTCATTGTGATTATTTTTTGTGATTTGAGTACAGCATAGCCACATTATATGTATTTTATATATTGTGTTTTAGAACCAATGATTGTTTAATATGGACCCCTCCCAGAGTTATTCCTAATTGGGATTTTACCGAAGAGGAAACATGTTTTAGCACAGGGAAATAAATTTACTGCAGCATAACTGCTCTATTTAGCTTAGATGCTTAAGAGTTAGAAAAAGAATTATAGATCATCTGCTGGATTATGCCATGAATTATATAAGAATTCTCTAGTTAGTAGATCCCACTTTAGGAAAGAAACCCTTGCTATCCTGTCCTTCTTGAGCTATTGTTTCATTTCTGTTTCTCTCCTTTTTAAGCTTTCTGCACATAATTGTCCATATCTACTACCACTACTACCTCAACTCCTGTTGTTCTTTTTCTGTATTCACTCCTATATAGCTTGTTCCTGTTTCTACCATTTCATAGTAACCGATTTTGTCAGGTTTACTAATTATCGCTACTTTACCAGATCCTGTGATCACTTTTCTTTCACTGTATTTCTTGACCTCTCAGCAGCATTTGGTAGAGTAGCCCAGTCTATCCTTTTTGCTGTTCTGCTAATGAAAATAGTCTTTATGTGGAGGCTATTTCTCATTAAGAACTTGGGGACAGCATAATAATACATGTGGAACAACCAGTAACTGCTCAGGTCTACACAGGATCATTCACTCAGTGTAACTGTAAACAAATAAATAAGCTATTTGAGGAAACCATAGCAATTTAAAATCATTTATGTAATTGTTAGCTAAAATGTTTTTCAGTAAGTTGTAATTCATTAATCATTATCTTTTCTTAGTTTGTGTGATAATTTTGATTTTCCTCACATTTCCCTGACTGCTTCCTAGAGTCTCCTTTGCTAGGTCATCTGCCTTCCAACTTCTCAGGAGCTCCTCAGGGCTTCATCCTAGACTGCTAATCTTTTCTATGTGCATTCTCTCCCTAATGAGTTTTTTTGCTGTATAGGTTTAATACCATCAATTGTCATATAATTGATCCCATGTTTCCTGACTTCTTCACCAATTTGGAAACCTGTGTACTCAACTACCTCTTTGATATCTCCATCCAAATGTCTTGTAGGTATCTCAGACTTAATGTGGCCAAAAAAGAAGTCTGAATTTTTCATCCTTCCATCTGTCCCCTAAGCCCATTTCTTTCCCAGTCTTCTATCCAATATTCATGTTGATGCCATTGATTCTTCTCCCTAACTATGCTGGTTTGAAGAGGCCATAGTGTATTGATTTGATTTGTTGGATTGGAATCTCTGCTCTGTCATTTACCAGCTCTGAGGCCAGGGGCAGTTATCTAACCTCTTTGTACCTTAGTTTTTTTAATTTCTTATAGTCTCTCCTAATTTTGTAAGGTTGTTGTAAAGAATAGATAAACTACTACATGTAAACTGTGCAGAACGATATCTGGAACTAAGCATGCTCTCCATGAATGTCAGTTGGTTTTAATATTATTTTTCTCATTCCTCAGATCCAATTGATCTGCAACTCTTCTAGACTCTTCTTTCAAAACCTCTTCCAAATCTGACAATTCTCTTCATTTCAGCTAACACAATGCAAGCCATCATTATTCTTAGCTTGGATAACTGCAGTAGCGTAGTTCTTTTGCTTCTCCTTTTGCTTCCTTAAAACCTAATTTCCATACACAGCCTAAGTGGTCTTATAAAAATGTGAATCACATCTTGTGACTCTGGCTTCTAATGGTCTTCCGTTCTTTGTCCTTAGAATACGCTTCAAGCTTCTTACCGTGGCTGAATGAGGAGGTACTGCCCATCTCTGTCCCACTCATGCTGTGCTGCAGTCTTCAAATGCCAAGCCTTTTCCTGCTTCAGAGTCTTTGCACTTGCTCATCCTTTGCTTGAATCATCTACTTCGAGTTGTTTCATGGCTGATTCTTTCTTGTCATTTGTGGCTCCACTTCAAGTCACCTCCTCAGTGAGTCTCTCCTTGACTACACAGCTAAATTATGCCCCACCCCAGTTCTGTACTGTCATCCTGTCTTGTTTTATTTTCTTCATAATACTTCCTACTTTGTGGAATTTTCTTGTTTATTTATGTGTTCACTTGCTTATCGTGTGTATCTTGCCACTAGAATGTCAGTTCTTTGAGGTCAGGGATGTATCTGAATTACCAAGAATTACCTGACCCATAGGGGACTCTCCACAGATATGTAGTTACCAAGTGGAAGAATGAGTAGATCTTACAAGTCTGCTTTCTTTCTCCAGAAATCTTTCCCAAAAGTTATCTTTAGTGTGGTCATGAATGTTTTGCCTGATTATTTTAATGAGCATATTCTATTTTGTAAGGTGGTTGAATTTTTTTTCTTACAATAATAATAATATACAGGTAGACGAATTATATTTATTTTTATTGAAACAAAATCTATTTTCCTATAACTTCCTCCAGCTATCTATCAGTCTTTTCCTATGAAACCACGCAGAGTAAATCTAATTGCTCTTATTTTTTGAGATGGGGCTCTCACTATGTTGTCCAGGCTGGACTTGAATCCCCA